AGAAAAATAAATAGTCAAAAAAAAAAAAAAACAAATAGTCACTATAGATAAAAATAAATAAATTGTCAATATTATCAATAAAAGTAGTATTATTGTATTAGTCTTTAAACACAAATTACTTTCTTATCTTATTTTTAAGATTTTCTTTTTTTTTTTCTTAAAATATTTATTTTTTATTTTTAAATTTAAATTAATTTGATCCTTCTAATTAATAATTTTAAAATATACTTTTTAATCATTTTTTAATTGATTTAAAATATGAAATTTGTTCAATTAGATTTACTTATATAAAAAACTACGAAATGATTGACTAAAATTATATAGTTAAAAATAGAAAGATCAAAATTGTAGATTTAATATTATCAAAGAATCAAAAGAACAATTTAGTAGATAATTTATGAACATAGTATGGGAGAATATTTATTATGGGGTAGAGAAAGTATCCAATAAAACATGTTTTATTATTGGAGATGTGAGAGTTAAATATTAGTCTTTAAATAATATATAGAAATAATTAATGATTGAAATTAAAACTTAATTGTAAAGAATATTCAATTTTAGACACTTTATTGTCACTTTTATGACTACTAGCACTCACTGGTGCCACTATCACTACCACGATTGTTCCTACTATCATTGTTAGCATTATCGTTATTGTAACACTGTATTTTTCCTAATTATGTATATTTATTATATATGTGATTATGTATGTTGTTTTGTGATTTTTTTTATTTGTGTTAGGGCGTGGGGTAGTATTGAGATAACCTTAGGCTTAAGTTATAAAGGATATAACAAAAGTGTGTGAAAGTTGGTTCGTTGATGATTGAGATATATAAGGAAATTTCAAAAAGGGAGCTTCATATATTCATAATTTAAGATTTCTAGAGAGAAGTTAGAGAGAAAGTCTCTGGAATTTCCAGTTGTGTTTAGGCTTTTGGTCGTCTCTAAGCTTGTAGATCTCCCTTAAAGCTAGAGATTGGATTATCTTGAAACTGAAGGAAGATTGTGGAGTTGATATCTTGAAGATCAAAGCTTATGGAGCTTTGATTGAGAGATGTAAATGGGATTTTCTTCTATCTCAATTCTTTTTGTTAGGGAGCTAGATTAAGATAAGAGAAGCTTGATTGTTGTTTGTATATATTGTTTAAGCATTATTGTTGTTTAAAGCTAAACTATTGATTGTAATGGTAGTGGTGATGAGTTTTGAGGGTTGTTTAAATATCTTTGTTGTCTGATTTTGTGTCCTAAAACTTGTTGCATGCATTATCTATATTGTTGTCAAAATGTTGTTGTTTGGATGCATTTTGATTGTTTGCATGTTGAAGAGGCCTAGAAATGCCCTAGCATGCATGTTTTGGGTGAAACACATTTTCGCTAAGATTACAATTAGACAAATCCTTTCCCTAATGTGTACACTTGGGAATTCTTATCCCAAGATTACACACTTCACAAACGGAATACAACATTTCTTTAGAAATATGTCCCTTATTTCTACAACTATAGTAAAACGAATAAATTAACCTATGTGAAGCTTTCCAAAGTATTATTTCTTGGTTTCTTGAATAGCAGGAACTGAGTATGACACCTTCTATCCCACATGCACATAATAATAATAATAATAATCAACAAATAAACAATCTAAATAAAAATATTTGATTAGAAACTAAAGGCAGTTCGTAAAACAACTCTAACGACAGAACAATCACTATCTTAAAATGTAACATAAGTTTGTACAAATCACAGAAATCCTAAATAAGGTAAATAAGTTCAAATAAATAAAAGTCTAAGCTGAAGACCCCGACATCACATCCTATGATAACATCATCATCATCCTAATGATCCTCTTACAAAACATACATAAAAAACAAGTAAAACAAGAGAGTGAGATATGTCTCACTTTGGCTCTCGATGTAAGATAACATTGGGTAGCCACTATCCTCATGTGCGGTCATCAACATATATGATTATCCTCATGTATTGTTATCAACATTTCATGCACATGATGCATGTCAACACACACAACTCTATATATGCAGAACTTTACATCATGGACTCATCACCTACTCATGTCATTCACTTAACAAATCGCGTCAAAAATACTCTCAAACAAAATAGTGATTTTTGTTTAATATATAGGATTGACTTTGAAAGTTATAAATAATTTTATTTGCAATCAAATATTTTTATTAGTTTAATTATTTAATTTTTTTGTTTATTAACAAGGAGTATTCTTGGCAGACCCTATTGATAATTTGATAGATATCAAATATGTGAACATTCTATCACAGCTCAAATTTTCTATATTCACAAGAATCAAGATTCAAATACTGACCACTTGGTGAAGCGACGTGAATCCCTCGCCACGTTCTCACACTAACCCAAATTAGTAATTGAATTATTTAATTATAAATTGATTCAAACATAAAAGGTTATTATGAATATTTGTCGATAGATTTCTTTTCATTTTATTATATGACTACTCTTCTTCTATTTTCTTTCATTCTATTATTACTCATAGATTTTTTTTCTTACCTTTTCTTAACTAAAAAACATTGTTATTCTTTTCATCTTTGATGGTTATTTAATGGTTATTGATTATTATTGTCATAAAAAAATAATTTCATGAGTAACATAAATGATTTTGATCAAATGATTTTTGATAACACATTTAAAATGATTTTAAAAAAAAAAAATATTTGATTTATAACTAATGCACATATCAAATTTCATTATAAAATCATTAAACTTTTTAGTAGTACGTGAAACAAGTAATTGTTAAATCTAACTTTTATCTTTTAAAAATTACATTTTTGGGTATATTATATTTGGATTTTAATAAAAAAAATTAAAAATTATTATAAAAAGATTTTGTGATATTCAATCAATACTTTTTTTAATATAAAAAATCATGTAATACTCAATTAAGATAATTAGGGTTTCTTTAAAAGTATGTCAAAATATTATGGTATTCAATTAAGACAATTATGATTTTTAAGAAGTACGCTAAAATCTAATGGTATTCAATTAAGATTTTTTTTTTCACTTAAAAAATTCGATGTTATTCAAAAAACATAGAGAGATTTCAATAAATTATTTTGAATGATAGATTTTGTAAAACTTTTTATTAGAATTTATATACAATTCACTCGTCCAACAATCTCACTAAAACCTTTGGAATTTTGTATGATTTTTTTTCTTCTTCTATTTCTCCTCTTTCTTTTCTTTTACTCTGCCATCAATTTTTTTCTCGCCCTTCTTGCTTATATCTCTTTCTCCTCTCTCTGTAGAAGTGTTAGATGGGTTAGACTGACTTGACTTAACTTGACTTGTACAAGTCAAATGTTATTCTAAGTTAAGTTGAATTGACCTATATTCTTTTCGGGCTACCATATTTTGGTCTAACCTGACCCATGTCGAATCATCAAGCCATATTGACCTAATTAAAAAATATTTTTTAAGAATAAAATCTATTTATTTACAATAAAAAACAAAAATCATAACATGATTAATTGATACTTGTCATGGAACACTTATTGATTTTTGTACAAATGATAACCGAAATGGGATGAAAAAAATGTCGAAATAAGAAAAAAGATTCAATTAGTTAAGTAAATATACTTGGACAGTTTAGCAAAAAAAAAAAATATCATAAAGAGAAAGAAGATTTCTTACATGAGACACTAAAACTATTCAAGCTAAAATAGTAGTGGTTCATAGAGTGAAGTGGTGAATATTAATTCATCAAAATTATTTATAATATTTGAAATCCATAGTTAGTTTAATGTTAAAATTGATAACAAAATATACAATATTAATTAAGACAATTAAGGTAACAATGAATAATTTAAATTAAAATAAAATTATTTTTACAATAATTAGATTAAGTAATATATTTATAATTTTATATAAATAGGGTAATTATATATAATTTTATTTTTAATATATTATGAATAGTAATTTTTATTATATATAATTTTAAGCGATATTTGCAAAAACTTAAAACATGTTTTTTTTTTGTTCATCCCTGGAGTATCCACTGCCGATAGCGGTGACTAATCTCCTCGTTATTGTTTAATTTAATTATCAAACACATTTATAATTTTTTTAAACACAAAAAAATAAACTAAAATATTGCAAAATTATTTAAACTTCAGCTTGAATTTTGAATAATGTTTACAAATTTTTATGCCTCATATTCACTCACATTAAATTTTTTGGCAGCTTTAAATGTAAGTGTACATAAAAAAATAAAAATAAAAAACAGTTTAGCTTAATTAATCAGACAATATATAAAAACTACGAATTTGGATCCTCTCTGACAATCCTCTCTCTCTAGCTTCTCTCCAGCAATAATAATAACCACAAATTCAATCTTATAAAAATAATTTAAGAATATTAATTAAAATATTACAAAATTAATCAAAATTATTATAATATTATTTAAGAAATCACGTTAATTTTATAATAATACTTTTGATTGTGTAATAATTAAAATTATTTAAGAAATATATACAATTATATTGATAATAGTTAACATTTATTTTAAATTTTAAAGTTATATTGATCTAAATTCATCTAATAGCTCAAATTCAATCTTATAAAAATTTAAAATAAATGTTAACTATTAATAATATAATTGTATATATTTCTTAAATAATTTTAATTATCGCACAGCCAAAAATATAGTCATTTTAATTAATTTTGTAATATAATTAATGTAATTTCTTAAATAATTTTTATAAGATTAAATTTGAATTATTAAATATACTCAATAATTATTATTACTAGGAAAAGGCCGGAGAATGAATGAGGATTGTAGAAAAAGATCCAAATTAAAAACTACATGGCTATCAAATGATATCTATGTAATGTTGTACCACTGTACAGTGCCTGTGTAGCACTATTCCGTCTAATTCACTCTAAATATGTTAAGGAGTCAACAAACTCAAGCTAGCTGACATATTTGTTAATTAACAGGTGTAACAAGCAGTTTAGGGCACGTAATAAAGTATGGCTAGAAATTGAAGAATCTGCACATGCGTGTTTATGGAGTCCTACCCTCTATATATGTAAACGAGCCAACTTGTTAATATCCTAGATTGGGTTGAGCAATTTAACTATTGCAGGACGAGGTAATTGAGATCTCATTTTCATTTGGAATGTATATAACATATGAACCAAAGAATCAATGGTGTCAATATCAAATTCCATAACCACCAATTTTCTTTTTTATTTCTTTCAGCAGGATCATTCATATTCTCATCATGCTTGCATGTAACTAAAATAAGATTTGCAGTAGTAGCATGACATCAATGGAAGAATCATGGACTAGTTGGTTATGTGATGTGGTAAGATCATATTATACACTACAGTATAATGTTTTCAACTTGAACATGCGTATTTCTTTGCACGATTCAAGTTTTTTCCCTACATTGTTCCAGGAACCAGATGATTATAGTTTCATTGGTCAATCAGAAATAAAGGTGGATGATGTGAATGGAAGTTTGGCATCTCATCATGATATAGCCATTGCATCAGAGGAGAACCCACAATGCTCATTTTCCACGGAGACTCACTCTTTAGTGGCTAAGAGTGACTTAAAAAGGCCCTTCGAGTCACTAAAAACAGAACAACTCCCACAAAAGATAACTTCTCCATGCTCCTACATTCTTTCGTTTGACAACACGAATCCACCACCGTTAAAGGTTGAATCAGTCTCGAAGCCAGGAACCAAGGTTGACACAAACCGTGGGAAAGCTTTGCCTTCCAAGAATGAACCAAGACGCGTTACTCAGGAGAACAAGAAAATGAGCTCATTGGCCACAACTTCTCACCACACTAAAGATCACATAATTGCCGAGAGAATGAGGAGAGAAAAGATTAGCCAACAGTTCATTGCCCTCTCAGCTCTCATTCCGGACTTGAAAAAGGTTCACTTTCTTCTTAGTTTACATGTCAGATAAGAGTGTGTTCAAGTACAAGTTTGTAGAGATTTCGAAAATTTTTCTACCAAAAGTAAAAAGATAAAAATTGAATAGAAAACTTCTTAATTTTTTTTTTAAAATTTATATTAAAACAGACTCTATATTTATCGATACGTTTTTTTAACAAAACCCTTGTAGGACTAGTTTCTTCTTCTAGATCCAACCCCATGGGTGTGAAATGGCCATTTATTTTTCAAGAAAATAGTGCTTGTAATTAAAAAAAAAAAAAAAAAATCACCCTGGGCCCTCAATGTTCCTCAAACATTTAGATGCATACTTGGTATGAATGGTACTAAGGAATGATAATTTATTTGCAGATGGACAAGGTATCTGTGTTGGGGGAGGCTATAAGGTATGTGAGAGAGCTGAAGGGTCAAGTGAAGTTGCTGGAGGAGCAGAGCAAAAGGAAAAGCGAGGATTCTTTGGTGTTTGTAAAGAGACCTCAGGACGAGGATGTCTCAGACACTTCGTCAAATTCGTGTGAGTTTGGAAACTTTGATGATTCATCGAAAACAAATTTGTCACTGCCAGAAGTTGAAGCAAGGGTGTCAAAGAAAAACGTGCTGATTCGAATCCTGTGCAAGAAAGAAAACGTAGTTCTGGTGAACATATTTAGGGAGATAGAGAAACTTCATCTTTCAGTTATCAGCAGCAGCGCCTTGTCTTTCGGTTCCTCTGTCCTGGATACGACCATCGTGGCCGAGGTACATTATAATAATATGATATTACTACTAAAAATAATTGTGCAATATTAAATAAAGTCTTTTATATTTTGCATTTCATGTATGGTAAATGAGACTTGGCATCAACGGTATGTGGTTTGTTTCAATTGGTGGCAGATGGAGGATGAATTCAACATGAATGTGGAGGAACTGGCTAGAAACCTCAGAGTTGGACTGATGCAATTTGTTTAGTGCAATATGAGTTCAGTGTACTAAATATCCCTGTCCATATAATAACATTGGTTGAAAACCATATGATCTATTATTGGAAATTGGGATTTAACTTGTTGCAAGAGGGCTTACAGCCTTGGAAACTATGGGTTGTATAACTTTCTTCACCTAATTTGTTTTCACTTTTGAGTAGTGCCATTTCTTGGAGTAATATTCATAAAATTAAAAAAGATTAATACTTTAATTTTATTAATTTTAATATATTATTATAATTCATCTTTATATATAAAACAGGAATAACAATATTACATAAAAACGTTATTAAAGTCTTTTTTCGACGAGAGAGTTTTGAGGGATTTTTATATTTAATTTGATTTTTATTTTTGATAATTATTTATTAATTAAATTTTACTATTTTTAAAATAAAGTATCTATAAAAAAATAATATTATATTATAATATAATATTTATTATAAATTTAAAATATAATTTATATATTTAAAAATATCTATTTATTTAAATTTTAAATATAATTATATGTTCGAACATAACATTTATTTATATACATAATTTATTTTAAGTTATATATATATAATAAATATTTAAAATATGCATTCATATGTTAAAATATTAATATTTAAACTAAATTATACTTTTAGTCTTTTATTTTATTTTTTAAATTCTTTATAATCCTTTATTTATTAAAATATTTATTTTAATTATTTATCTTTTATATTTGAATTAATTTAATTCTTTTAAAATAATAATCATTTTCAATTTTATGACATGATTTTGAATCACTTTTTGATCAATTTAGAACGTGAAAGTTGTACTATTTGATTCATTTATATGAAAATTATACAATACAATTAATGTTTAAATCTAAAAGAATTATAAACATCATGAAAATTGTATGAAAAATATATCTCATAAACAAAATTTTAAATTCTCAATCAATTAAAAAAGAATTTAAAAGGATTAAATTGATTTATATTTAAGAGATAAAATATTAAAATAAATATTTTAAAAATAAAAGACTAAAATAAATTTAAAAAATAAAAATATAATTAAACATAATATAAGTAATTTTTTTTTTATTTTGTAAATAAATATGTTGCTCAGCACCTGCATGTGGAAGCGAAATATTCAAACGGAATCTCCAGGTATTCTTACAAACTAAACTCCTGTAATATTTAATTATAAAGATTCTAGCACTCAATATAAGTGCACAAAAGAAGGGAGGAGATATAGAAGTTAGTTAGGGAATACCTATAAGCCAGTAAGATCTATTTATATCATTTCTAGCTTGATATATATAAGGACGAATCCAATACTCAATTTAATAATTAAATTATTAAAATTTAATATATACCATAAATTATTGAGTAAAATAATTTTATATAAAATTAATCTTCAAATCATTTCATCCCTCTTTATATATATATATGATAAACTAAAGTACCTTAGCAAATCCTATGGAAATTTAGAATATTGTTACCTCACAGGTTGGAGAATCTATGATTTGGTGCATCGCATCCTTGCTGAGATTCGTTTACCACTGGACATCGACATAAGATTTTCTAATTCCTATTAATATATATTGTTGCCTCACAGATTGGAATGCATGATTTGGTGCTTCACATGCTTCTTTACTGAGATCCGTTCACTGCCAGTTATATACATAACCTTTTAGGTCTAGTTTATTAGATTTAAGTCATTCAACTAACAAACATTTACTAGAGTGAACCTAAACTATATATTTATATTTGCTAAAAATGTTAAAAATTTTATTAAAATTTAAATATATTTTATCTCTCAAATTTGAGATAAATTTTTTTAATTCCTCAAATTTAAAATTAGTCTTTTCAATTTCTATATTTTTTAAAAAAGAAATAACTCATATCTATTTTTAAATAAATGATTTTCTGAAAAGCATTTATTATGAAGTAACTTTTTTTAAAATTTCAAATAAATAAATCTTACAACAACTTATTTTAAAAATTAAATAAAATCTGATTACAGAATATTTTTTTCTTCTCATAGTTTTCTATCAAGGATTTCAATAACATTCCTAGGTTATTGGTAAATTGACCAAAGGGGACCACTTCAAATATTTTACCAATTGGTGTTTTAAATTGTAGCAGGCTTATATAATTCAACGCAAGTTGGTCACAATGGAATCTCTAGTGAACCATCATGTGAATGTTGTTGGATATGATAACATTATATATTTATATTAAATGAGTAGCTTAGATTTTTGATTGATGAATTGAAAATAGTTTAAAAGGTAGGATACTTTTTAAATGGTTTTGGCTACAAGTGGCTAAAAAATAAATAAAAAATATTGAGTACAAACAACTTTACATTATATATAATAATAATAACTTTGTATTTTTAATTATCTAATTAATTAATGGGTAGTAAAGCTATTTTTTTAAAAAAGAAACGATAAAGATATATAAAAAGAAATATATGAAAGAAGAAACTGTACAATAAGATTAATCAATCGATAAAAAGTGATAGAAAAAAAAAATATGCTACAAAATTGCGAAATAATATTATTAATTTTAATTATAGACAATTTTTTTTTCTATTTCATACAATAGATTAGAAGTTTTAAAATGTGTTTGCGTAGATAATTTTCTAAGCAAAAGACAGGAAATATTAATTTATTATTTTTTAAATTAAGCAAGTGTAACGTCTTGACCAATCATTATATTTTACTGTTCAACAATTTAGTAATAAAAAACATAAATCTAATTATTTATGATTAATATGCAAGAATTCCTAGATATACATATAACAATATATATGTATAAAAGTAAACTACTAAAAATCCATTAGCAGGATTACATAAAAAAATCTTGTATGTGTATGGGTGTGTCTATGTATATGTATGTTGCCTTAGAATAGAATCAACTAACACACTACGATCTCCAACATGGCATTACAACTTTTAGCCTCCTACCTAATGCTCATAATAAAAATGATCATCACAACACAACTTTTAGAATTTTGTTACTTAAACTATGAAAGTATAGTATCTTTGTTAGGAATAGAACAACTTGGGTATGAGTCTATCACAACATTAATATGCATCAACTAAGCTTATATAGAATTAACTCGTTGACTAACCTCCATATACTGAGCATCTTTTCAGTAATTAGTTAAGGATTTTACTTCTCGACTTCATACCTTACTTTATTAGTCGTTTCTAAAGTAATATGGCTCGACCTGACCCCCATATGATGTCAACTAAGAACTTAGAAGAAACTCAACACTCCATTTCAAGAGACAATAATCTCAAGAAGGGTTTTAAACAATTAGATTTGCAGAACACCACAACACATATCCACATAATGAGATATTTCAACTTCTTAAAACAACACATCTCTTTTAATCCTAAGTTCACAACAGAGTTCAATATCATGCATCACACATCTTATCAACATAAATCAACACAAGAACATGCCTCATGCATTCACAATACAACACACAACAACATACTTCACTTGCATTCAACATACTCACACCTAATGCATTTATCCCGTGCCCGACATTTATGAGACAAATAGTCTTTGAATTACTCACGCTTGACACCACTCATCTCGTGCCCAACATCAATAAGATAGAGAGCTTTTGCATCATTCACACTTGACGCTAGACATCCTGTGCTTGACATCAATGAGGTAGAAAGCATCTAACTTACTCACACCCAACACTAGTAATCGTGCGCCCGACATTAATGAGAAAACAAGCCTCTTATTTACTTACACCCGCTGTCATTTATCCCACGCCTAATGTCAATGAGGTAGAGAACCACTAGCTCACTCATGCCTAATGCCAATCATAGTGCCTAGGCGAAGATGTGGTAGAGAGCATCTAGCTCTGTGAGACCCTTTATCATGCATACTATATACATTCAAATCCATAAGAATGATATAAAAATCTCTAAATCCATGCATAATAATCAAAATGAAATCTCCAACATAAGGTAAAGAGTCTCATATAACAAACTCTTGAATAAAAACCTATACTAAAGTAGAAATATAAAAATAAACATAAATCCTATTATAAGAGTTAATAAGGAACATTCCTAGTCTAAACTCTGATGTCACACGTCCTACTAGAGCACTACTAAGACAAAGATTAAGTCTTGTCATCAACATCATCAATATCTCGATGAGCCTCACTTGCATCAACATTGATAACAAGATGGAACAAAGGGAGTGAGAAAACTTCTCGTTCTAGCCTATAGCCTGAAATAAGAGATAAATAATCAGACACACTCAATACATTATTTATAACAGTAAAATCTATATTACATATAATTAGCATTATCAAAAATAATAACTTATTCAAAACACATCAAATCATTAATCTCCCAATACAATTCAATCACATGCAAATATAAAATGTAATAGAGTCGGACTCTTGATTTGCATACTTGTGGTACCAATCACAAGGTATCCATAGTGCATTTTAAATAATTTGTCAATTTGTTGATTTGTGTGCATATGATGCATGTCATATAGACTCCCTATCATATTATGAATCACTACACATAATCAACAATTTGTCACACATATATGACTTGCCATGCTTACAATTGTTATTCGCAACAATTTGCCTTGCATACTATTTACTAGACACAATTCAAGTATATCATTCAATCAATACATCAATAACATTCATGTTTATTTCACACTCATCAAGCATTAAAATCACCTAATCAATCCTTTCAATTCAAGTAAAAGAACGAGTTTCAAACATGAGGTGATACCTATAAAAGCCAAATTATACCCCACGTAGCTCATCCAAAGGGCACCCATAGCTCCCAAGATGGTTCACGCCCGGTGTGATTCACATCACGCTCAGCGAGATAACAATAGGGAGTCCCCTAGAACTCCCACGTCTGTAAGCCTCAACTTGTTCCTGGTATGAGTGGCATAGAGGCTTTCAACCTCAATAGTGCCTAACGTGAGTGAACAAAGAGCACACCTATTCTCAGGTACAATAGCGCCCAACGTGGCGCACGTGGCACCCAACATCGCAAAAAACTCAATTCTACAAAAAACACAAAGCATACAACTTTTGAGTCAAAACTTGCATATAAAAATTCAATAGGTAAAAATGCAAAATACTCATACAAAACATCAATAAGCCAAGAATTTCATACAATTACACATTTCTATTAAT